GAGTGACTAGACACTAGTTTGGCAGCAGACTTAGTTGACTGGCGTGTTGCACGCTTTCTGCGAAATTCTCCTGGAACTGCCTCCGAGTCACCACTGCTGCTTTCTTCCTCAGAATCCTCACTATCCCAGGAAAGTGGTACGGAGAAAACCGCTTGGTTTGTCGAGGGTTCTGATGTGCTTTTGGTCCTTTTTGATGGATGGATTGTTGACATAGGAGCCACTTTCATAGTTGTATATCCCACCCTGCCATCTGATTCAATTTGTACTTTGAACAGTTGTTTGTCCTCACTACAAAGCCAATTTCCATCTGGTTTTGTTATACCGAACAGATGAGCAAGATTTTCTTCAAATACTGCATTTGGTCGCTTTCTGTGTTTCTCAAATGGTGTGATAAGTTTGTAAACATTAGCAAACACTTGTTGTTTGGAAAGAACAGGAAAATTAAACTTCTGCCAAAGATTCATTAATTCCTCCAATATTTTTGTTAGTCGATCATGTTGTCCTTTCAATTCATTAAAGAGTCCCAAGAATATTCCAACAATATCTCTGATGGAAGGCATTTTACACAATTTGTCGCTCATATCCTGTTTTACCTGTGGTATATTAGGACGGTGCTTTGTGCTTGATTTCAAATTTTGTGTCCACATTTCACCAGCTGCTTCCACTGCTGATTTTGAATTTTTTACTTTTATAGAACATACTTTCAAAAAGAAGAACTAAACAGCAGATCTTGCAAATTAATACTGCAAATAATGAAAAAACTTTTAAATACTTTTACTCAATATTTTAATCGCGCAAATATTAAAAAATACTCACCAACAAACAACAAACGCGCATTAATTTGAAAAACAGTCGTTAAAATTTGTTATTCAAAATTGAGTTACATAACATAAAAACAATTTAAAACTATCGAACTTTTTCATTCTATGTTAATTAACTTTTTAAACTGTTTTAAGCTCTCCAACTTGTAGTTATATTCAAGCATGGTCAAGCATAAGGAAGTACGAACTGGGAACAAAATCAAGTGAAAATCGAAAAAGTTAAAAGTGGTGAGGTGCTAGGTGCGGGAGGTTTTTTTGTGATCCAATGAAATAAACCTCAAAACAGTGATCTATTGGTGAAAGTTCATCAAATGCAACATCAGGAAAATTAAAATTTTGAAAAAAGTTTCTTTGTCATATACCTATACCTAATATATATATAATATATACCTAAATAATATATATAATATATATACCTTAATATATATATATATATATACCTATATAATTATATATATAATATATATATTATATATATATATATATATATATATATATATATATAATATACTATATATTATATAATATATATAATATATAATATATATATAAATTAATATATATACTATATATATAATATATATACTACCTAATATATATACCTAATATAATATACTAATATATAATATATATATATATATATATATATATATATATAATATATATATATATACTATATATATACATGTATATATTACCTAATATATATATATATATATATATATATATATATATATATATATTACCTAATAAATATATATATATATTAGGTATATATATATATATATATATTAGGTATATATATATATATATATATATATATATATATATATATATTAGGTTATATATATATATATATATATAGGTATATATATATATATACCTAATATATATATATAAATATATTATATATATATATATATATATATATATATATATATATATATATATATACCTAATATATATACCTAATATATATACCTAATATATATATATATATATATATATATATCAGGCTTGGTCGGGAAGCGGGTGCGATCGCACTCGATAATTGACCACGGAAATTATATTTACTTGCGAAAAGCCAGCCAGATTTTTCAGGCGTTTTGAGAACATTTTAATTTATGTATGTTTCCTTGTTTGTCCGCAAAATAATAAGTTCATTTTATCGTAAATTTTAAAAGATTTTGTTTTACGGACGTACGTGGAAACTTATATAAACTTGAATGTTGTCAAACATCTTAGTGCGGAAAAATAAATAAAGAATATTCGCAAACACAAAAAACCCGCCAAATTTACGAACAACTAATTCTATTGGTTCAATTAATAAATAACTGAAATTACTAAAGAATTCAAGCAAATGTTCTAGAGTATTCTGTTGAATTATTTTTCAAAATCGTATAATTTGAGTTTTGTTATGTTTTCGTTGAGATTTCTAGCATCAATTGCTTTAAGAATATACTATCAAGCGAACAATTATTTTAATACAGTGGCTCATTCTCGGAGTCACATCTACAAAGCTATAAATGTTTTAAACTAACATTTGTTTACAAAAATAAATGTTTTAAATTTATAATTTTTAAACTTGTCAATGTTTTGTAAATATATTATAGATTTAATTAGTATAATCTTATTTTTTATATATAAGGGATATATTTATATATATGTAATGTATTAGAAATTGGTTTATTAACTTCAACTATTTTTGCTTCAGCCATTCTTACAAACTCGTTATACTTACACTTAAAGTTACTTTTTTCTGTAAAATACTAGTTAAAGATATAAAGCCCACTCACTAAACATCATCAGCGACATTGTTAAGCAGTTCCGCTTTCTCCTTACTAAGTAATTTAACGTTTTTAGTTAATTTCTATCTATCTAATTAAATTTCCACAGTAACTCAATGATTTAGTTATTTCATTTGTTTATCTTACTAAGAAGAATTGTTTCAAATATGTTAAACTTTTCAAACTAAGCGAAGCATAAAACAGGTACTGAAAAAACTTTTTTTATTTATAATTAAATTATGTAGCGTTAGTTTAATTGGTTTAATCTTGTTGGACTTTACAGGGACGGGGGCTGCATTATTTTGGTGGCCTTTTTTATGTGCGACAGCATAAAAATGACTTAAAAATACCGATAGGTCCTCTTGACTATTTCTCGGCCCATAACATTGTGTGTCCCGGGACTATAGCTCTTTTACCCCCCCCCCCTCCCAATTCTTATTTCCAGCACTGGAAATAAGTCATAAGTATATAAATAAAAATTATATATAATCTTTGATAAATTGAAGAACATTTGCTTCTTTATTAAACAATCATTATTAGTACGTTATTACTATATACAAAAAATGTCACTTTTTTTAAACTATTTTTCTTTTTTTAACTGTCTCTCATCGGTCCAGTTTATCTTATTGCGCTTTTTTGCTTGTTTTTGAAATGTTCTCAAAACACCTAAAAAATCTGGCCGGTTTTTCGCAACTAAATATAATTTCCGTGGTCAAATATCGAGTGTGATCGCACCCGCTTCCCGACCAAGCCTAATATATATATACAATGGCGTAGGAGGGTTCTTAAATGTATATAAATTGTGACAAACTAATTTATGGTATTATGCTATCTTTTAAATCTTTTTCAAATTATTTATGTCTGTGCTATAATATAGTTAACAAGATCTGTAACAACTAGTGCTTGAAGTTTCAAAAAGATTTAGGTTTTACATCTTATTCCTAAAACCTGAAAAATAGGTTTCACAGCTTTTCCTGATTTCCTTAACCTAAGCCCTGGAGTCTTTTTTGGGACTTAACATCTTGGATAATAATTATATTTATTTCATTTTATATCTAATAAAATATTAGATATTTTTAATTTTGATACAGGTACAGAAGTATTTCAGCCTGAATGTCGAAGGTCTGATGATGGATCTGCAGTTTCAATGAATTTTTGTGACCAGCTTACTAAACCGTCAATACTTTCAAGAGCCTGTGGAGTTACTCCTTGTTTGCCAAGGTTGTTTTAATTCATTTTTAGTTGCCAAGTTTTTGTTTGGATATTTTTATTTTTACTTCCAGTATTAAAAATTTTAGAATAAATGTCTGATAATAAATTTAGATGGTCTGAATCTGCTTGGAGTGATTGTACTAAGTCATGTGGAGGAGGGACAAAAGTGCGCACTATTGACTGTTTATTGCAAAAAGACAATGATATATATATTTTGCCTGCAACTGAATGTAATACTTCACAACGACCAAGACATCTTGAAACTTGTAATTTGATACCATGTCCTCCAGAATGGTTTGCAGAGCCATATGGCCCTGTAGGTTTTGAAAAATTCATATAAATAAAAAATTTTGTTTATAGTTAAAAAATTTATATAAGCAAATTCATTTGCTAATTTATTTAATTATTTTCTTGTAGTGTTCATCCTTATGTGGAAAAGGTTTACGCACTAGGAGCGTTGTGTGTCGTTCTGAGAATAAACTTGAAAAAAAATGGGTTGTTCATCCTAATGAAGATTGTTCTAATATTTCGATCCCTGAAACAGAAATGATTTGCAATGCAAACAATCCGTGTCCTGGAGATGGTAATTAAAACAATTTTTAATGTTTTAAATTTTCAAAGTTTTTAGAAATAAAATAGATTGTATATCTTCACATAAGGCTGACCTCATTAGCTCAAATACATATGTATATGTTCGGTCAAACTCACACAAAAATGAGTTATTTTAAACTCATAAATTATGTAACTTGCTTAAAATAGTTTCAATAAATGTAAATATTATTAATAATACAAGTATTATATTTTTATTACTACATGGTTATATTTACAAACTTCATATCAAAACAAAGAATTTTCAAGTAATAGTCTGATTATATTATTATGAAATAGAACAAGTAATAGTCTGATTAGGCTGAACGTTTTTGTATTTTGACAAAAAAAAGCGACAACAAGATAAACCATAATGAAAAAAGTGTGACAACAAGATAAACCATAATGAAAAACTTATACTCCAGTGGTACTTGTATTAGTTACCAGTTTTCAATAACATCTTGTTTTGGACATCATTGTTATTTAAAGTTAAATAATATTTGGATTGTTAACAGTATCAGAGTTTTAAAATAAGGTTTTGAAATTAATTTGGTCATTTTCATTTTTGTCTTAAAAATTATTTGTAACAATTTTTTTTTTAGTTTCATTTTTATTTTTTGTGGCTTAAAATGAAACTTTTACAAAAATAAACAATTAAATTTTTTTACCAGTTTTTTGGTAAACAAAGTAGTAATAAACTGTAAACAAGTAAGTAAATAATTTCATGGATAAAAAATAGTTTGAATAGTTTCATGAATCAGGTAGGTTTATTATATGAGGTGTACAAATAGATGGTTGAATAATTTCATGGAACAAGTAGCTTTGTTTGATTAAATTATTCAACAAACAAAAATATGGTACAGGAAATCTGTTGTTGTAAACTAAAATAAACAATGAAAATAGAGAAATATAAAACACTTTTGGAAAAAATTATTGTAAGAAGAATAACATATTCATAAATCCTTGTCAACAATAATTATATTGTTAAAGCTAAAAATATTTATAGAATAGTTCTAAGTAGAAATATTTTGCAGCCAATTTAAATCTAAAAAAATTGGGTAAATATTAGTAAATAGATAACCTGGTATTTTGTTGATTAATTATTGGTGAAAATATTATCATTGAATATATGCATAAACATTAAACAGTTACCGGAGTAGATAACATGTAGAGGATTTTACATATGATTAAATATATAACCAGTAGTGGCTAAATAATAGCAAAATTTAGCATTTTGATGGCTATGTAATGGTAACAAAGTTGCAGCCATTGTGCAGTGGTTAGAATTCTGGCTCAGAACCAAAAGATCCCAGGTTAGATGTTGGCCAATAAGTGACATTGGTAAGCAAGGAGACATGAACTTTTGGGAGCACTTTAATAACCACAAAATTAAAAAAAAAGGTGCCAGAAATTTTTTTGATTAACTAATGGTAAACATTTATAAAACTTGTGCATACAGCTATTCAAATAATAGATATAGATGCTTTTATTTGTCATTAAAAACAATTTTTAACTTAAATGTCATTATTTATTATTTTTTGTCAAATTTTATAGTGCTTTTTTATAAAATAATTTTTTTTGTTGAAGATTTTGAAATATAAACTTTTTTTAAGCATCGTGTGGAGGTCGCTGGAATGAAAAGAACGGAACTATTACAAGCCCTGGGTTTCCTGGGTTTTACAATAATAACCAACTATGTATGTATGAAATAAATGTTTCAAAAGGAAAAGTTATTGCTCTTAAATTTTTAGTGTGAGTACATTGAATATTAGTTTCAATTATTGTTTCTTATATTGTCTTATATTTGTTTAATTGCATATATTTAAACTCTTGAGTGAAAAAAGCTTAAACTTGTCATAAAAAAAATTTTTTTCTCCCTGTATGGGAAATTATTGAAACAAAAAATTGTACTTTTATAATCATTAAATATTTTCTAAAATTTTTATGTTTTATCATTTGAGAGATAATTATGTTCATTTTAGTTTTACTCTTGTTTGATTTGTTATGAAATTTTAATATTTTATTATTAGAGAGATAATTATGTTCATTTTAGTCTTTGATTTGATTTGTTATGAAATTTTTATGTTTGTTATTAGAGAGATAACTTTATTCATTTTAGTTTTATTCATGTTTGATTTGTTATGAAGTTTTTATGTTTTATTATTAAAGAGATAATTATGTTCATTTTAGTCTAACTTATGCTTGATTAATTTTACAACACTTTAATGTGACTTTTAAATAAAAATGATATATTTTTTTAAAACTTATGAATAAAAATAATTGTATATAAAAAAATAGTTTTAAAAATTGAATAAGTTAAAAAAAGAAACAATGAATATAAGAATAAAGTTAGTCCAAAAAAATAGTTTTTAAAAAAGTAATAAGCAAAAGATTGGCTTAGCAAGGTCATTTATTTAAATGTTAATGGAAACTTATTTCACCAAAATCAATATGTTGTGTTGTTAAGTTTAAAAATTTTAATTTTTGTTTATTTTATTAAATCTGTTTATTTTATTGAATCTGTTTATTTACAATTTATTTTGCTAAACTATTATAATAAGTTATTACATTAAATGAAAATTGTTATGAAAATTTTATGAAAGTTGTAATATAATTTTTATTATAACTTCTAACTTTCTTACTTCAGGCCTTTTAGAATTTTTATTATACAAGTGTTAAGCATATAACTCAAATTAACTAAATAAGTTCATATTTTCAATTGCCTCTAAAAATATAGTTCTAGGGAATTTGCTCCTTTCGTCTTGTTTTCCTGATTCATATAATTTGCAATTATTTAAGTTGTCTGTGAATCATTATCTTGCTTTATTAACTTAATCTTTTAAATATCTTTTCTCTTCCAGTAACTTCCAACTCTATTAGTGGTTGCTTGCAGCCTTGTTGGAAGTGAAGGTGTTTAAAAAAAAAGTAAATAAAAACTTATTTTATTCAAAAGCAAATTTCAGGTAAAATGTTACAAGTCAATATGATGATTACTGTAATGTCTTTAACCATTAATCTTTTTGTGGTATTATCAAGTTGTTCCGGAACAAGCAAAATTATTTGCATAAATTTGTCAAAACTTTTTGCTTGCATTCTATTTTATTCCATTGAGTTAATGCTAGCAATACTAGGCATGATTAAAAAAGATGATGAAGATGTTTTTGCATAAGAGAAACATACACAAAAAGTTAAGTTGGGTTTTCTAGTTTTACTTTTATTTTATTTTGACAAATTTACTGACAGCAAAGCTGCAGCAGCCACTATTTATATTGGGAGTTACCAAAAAGCAAAAAAGTATTTTTAAAGAGCAAAAAAAGAGTTGACAAAAGACACTTTGGTTAACAATAATGTGTGAAAAATAAAACTATACAAATTAAAGTTTTTAGAGCATAAAGAGACAGATACAGTAAAAGAATGTGACTAAATGAAAAGTCACTCAAGATTAAGTTTTGGTTGATAGAACAAGTGATAATAACTCGTTTAAGCAGTGACAAAAGGTGCAACCTTATAAAAATACGAGACTTCAAGATCAGCATCAAAATCATTTTTTAAAATTTTAATCAGTTTTCATTACATGAGAACTAAGGCTACTGCAGTATTATTTCCTTTTTAAACAATGAAGGAGTAGATCTTGACATAGAAACCAGTGCAACACATTCAGTTCTTTACTTGAGGTCATATAGTTATATTTAAGTCATTATATGTCAGAAACACAGGATCGTCAGATAAAAGTATATAGTCAAAGGACTGTAGATTTCAGGAGTTAGCAAACTATGTATTTTTCTAAATCTACTCAGCAACCATGTAAGCTTGCCACATTGTATTTGTTCTATTCATTCCATTAAATAACATTTGTAAAGCAAAAAACTCTTTTGTTGTCAATACACCCTGTATTAGTTTAAACAAAGCCTCTTTAAACCTTTGATAGCATAAACCTTTACCACATCAAAGAATTGTTTTGTGTCGATGCAGTTGATTAAGTTTACATATTAAACAATTAAAATTCTGTATGGTTGGAAATGCTGGTTGTTTAATCTGCAAGTAATTAATCTTTAAATATTTGCTGAACCATTTTTTTAATATATTTGCTGTTTTTGTTGATAAGTGCAATGCATGACTGCTAGCATTGGAATGTTGTTTCTCAATATTTGTGTCAAAAAAATCTCTTAACAGCTTGACTGTATTTATGAAATTCTTATTCACAGTCTATTGTTTTTCTACAAAGTAATAGTTTGTTTTCATAACCTTTTTAATTATTGTTATCATAAACTTTTTAACTATTATTTTCATAGTCTTTTTAATTATTATTTTCATAACCTTTTTATTGCTATTTTCATAACATAGTTTAATTACTATTATCACAACCTTTTTAGATATTATTTTTTGCTTTTGCATCAATAGCTTGACACTTATTGTTGTCTACCATCTGTTTGCAGATTCTCTTTTTTACTAGAATCTTTTTTATTTTTTGTTCCAGCTTTTCACAGTTTTTTTTCCTCCAGTAATTTATTTCCTTTACTATATTTCAAACAAATTTTGCATAACAAAACTTGTTTTGTTACTAAATATGTCACAATTGTGAATTTCGTTTGCCATCTTGCTTGGGTTTAATGTTCCTTAAAGTAATTTGTTTGGGAGCTTTCAAGGATAAAATCTATCCTTGCATGACCTGAAGTTTCAATAAGCTGTTTCTCTATTTTAGACAAATGCTCATCAGACTTCTCAATTTCTTTATTACACATTTTGTTGCTTTGTTACTACTTATTGTTAGTTCATAAAAGTAAAAAAAAGTTTTTAATTTATTGTTATTGTTGGCATTTTAATAAAGTGTTTTATAGTGTTGACAGTTTTTTATTGTGCAGCAAAAAAAGTAATTTTTGATTTATAAGTTGATGCATCTTTATGGCTACTGACGTCATGCGTTTACTCCAATTCATCTTATGGCTGCTGGCATCGTGTGTTTACTTCATTTTTTTCTGTAACAATTTAAATGTATATAAAATTTACATGCTACTTTCAAAATTATTTGGTTAGTAACCAAATATTTTTGTTAAATTAATTACAGTGTGCAACTGTTAAGTTTTTCTGAACACAAAATGAACAAACTAAATTAAGCAAAACTATTGTCATATACTGACAATCACAATGTCAGAACTATTGTCATATTGCATTTGAAACATCTACATTTTTTCTTTTAATGTTTTGTTTAAATATTTAAAAAAACTAATGTAGTTAAAATTTTTGGGACTTTTTTTGGAAGCCCATACTTCTCAAACGGTACCAAACATATCTGTTTTCGTTTATGGTAGTAGTGTATATTAAAACATTCTATTTAAAATATTTAATTTTAATTTAATTATATTTTATTTCAATTATTTACTTTTTAAGTAAGATTGATCAAAAAAAAAAAACTTTTTAAATTTATTTAAAAAATCAAAAATAAATAAGTTTAAATAACAAATTAGAATGTAGTTTGGAAAAATACCCAAAGTTTTATATTTAGAAAACACAAACAAGTAATCCATCAAAGTTTTTGATCAACAATTTGTATTAATACTTTTTTCATAATCAATAACTGCAGTTGTTTTAAAAGTTTTGAAAAAAAAAAAGTTTAACACGTTATGAATAAAATGTATGTTAAATAAAAAAAAATATTGAAAAATATTTGTGTTACATATTAAATTCATGTTTAACTTTATTTTAGTTTTGTCACTTGTGTTTTTGTGAAAAAAATTAATGTAATAAAAAATCTTTACACTTATCTATGTATAAATGTATGTCTGATTAAAACAAGTTTTAATCAAGTTGTTTTAGCCAATCAGATTAATCAAGTTGTTCTAGCCAATCAGATTAATTGTAATCATATTTCTCTGCTATCATTGTCAGGAGATAAATAAAAAATAAAAATCCATGCTCATTCAACTTAAAAAATTCAAAAACTCATCTTTAAATTCATCTTTATTCAAGAGATTATCTGTTAATGAGATGCTGTTAATAATTAACGATTGTCATCAATTATTATTGTTATTAATTGGCGATAGTTATTAATTTGCGATTGACATTAAAAAGATATCTTTTTAAAAATGGCTTCCAAATGGTCTAAATTTTTTAAAATCTTGTCAAATTTTATAGATTGGATATTACAACACCTTCGTCGGTTTGTACAAGTGATTATTTGAGGATATTTGATGGTCGTTGTGAGGACCAAAGTAAGCCTTCAGTAGAGTTTTGTGGCAAACAACTTCCTTCTGATTATATATCGACATCTGAAAATTTGTGCTTGAAGTTTGTCAGTAATTTTGGAACGACTGCACAGGGATTTATGATAAACTACACTGAAGTAGACAGTCATCAACATCTTGTCTCAGGTATTTATTTAAAAATGAGTAAAGAATGAAATAAGTAATTAAAATTATAGAAATGAAAATAATTAAATAAAAATTTTTGAATTCAGTAAATAAAATTATAGAAAAATTATAGTATTACAAAGATATTTATAGACTGCAAGTTTTATAATCATTTAGAATACAATAGAATATAAGAAAATTAAATATACAAAATAAATTGACAAAAAAAAGTCAATTTTTATTTTATTTATTTACTTTATTTTTTTTTTTTATAAAGAGTGAAAAGATTTGAAATGCATATTTTTTTAAAAAGTTTCAAAATATAAAATAAGTAAAAAGTTTCAATAAACTCATGGCTATAATAAGCAGAGTAAAGGAAAGAGAGGGAACTGATATTCTTGCACTTGCAAAAGACGGAGATCCACCGTTACAATTGTCTGTGTTGCAGCATTCTATCTGGCATTTTGTTAAGCCTTGCGCCTTGCAGAGTGGTTTGTTTTCGCAGAAATCTTGTGTAAAGCAATCTCTTCTGTAATTTTCGAGCGAAGTTTGTTTTGTGTAAACAAAGCCGCACATATTTTGATCGCCTTCACACGATATTTGGTCCCAGTCAATGCAGTCAGACCATCTATTAGCGTCTTGACATTTCCAACATGTTTTGGAACATACTAAAATAAAATAGTTTTTTTAAATTTATTTTTGTTTACTTATCTAATTATAAATCTTCGATTAGTTAATCAAATAAATAAAAAAAAGATAAAAAACAATTTATTTGGCAAAAGTTTACCAATTAATTGTGCCGAAATTAAAATAATTGCGATAACCAAAGACATATTACGTAACTTGATGCTTTCATAAAATTAAAAAAAAATCTCTTGCTTTTTGAAAATCGAAAACAGTTATTTTCCAAGCGTTTTTTTTTTTTAATTTTGATTTAAAGTTCTTTAACTTGAAATATGTTTATTCGATTTCACTCAAAGAAACTTTTTTAATTATTTATAAAAGAAGAAAATCGTATTCAAAACAATTATTATGCATGTGTGAATGGGTGATGTAATATTTGTTCAATTAATATCAATAAAAAATTACAATTCTTCAATTACCTAGCAATCTTTAAAAACATTCTTTCTGCAATCGCGTAGTCTTAATAATTATATCAGATCTAAAGTTCAGAATACAAAAGCTATTTAAAGCGTTTTAAAAAGTAGCTTTTTGCATTCTTTTATTTAAAGATTAAAATCTTTATATAAAAGAAAGTAACTATTTTATTTTTAAAAACCATTTATCAAAATCATGACAAAATAAAAACATTTTTACTTATTAGTTACTATATAATTTACAAATTTATATATATATATATATATATATATATATATATATATATATGTATATATATATATATATATATATATATATATATATATATATATATATATGTGTGTGTATATATATATATATATATATATATATATATATATATATATATATATATATATATATATATAATAAATAACTTTTTTTAGTAATATAACGTAATGTGTACTGTTTTTAAAGTTTTACTGTTTTACGCGAAAACAATTTATTTTTAAAGAAAAAAATTTTAAAACATTTATAAATGTTTTCTATATTATTAATTTATTAAAAGTTAGTATAGGTAAATATAACTATTATAATTTAGAGGGGTTATCGAGCAAAAAATCACAAAACTTATATTTGTAGTTTTGTATTTTAGTTTGAGTGTTTATAAATACCCGTTATCAAAAGTCTTACGGGACAAATGTTTTGTTTTTCAAAAAGAATTATCTTCAATAACTAAATTGTAAATTTATTTAAAAATAAAAATGTTTAGGTGGGCCTGATGAACTACAAACTACCTATAAAAACTTTTTTATTATTTTGATGAAGATATTGTTTGTAAAATTCTAAATTTTCAGTTAAAGGCTTTCAAATCCTGGGTCACGGGACGAAGGATAGGTCCTTTCGTGGCACAAGTTTTGAGACCTTAAACTTTAGTCTATTAAGTTCCTTTTAAAAAACAAAACTTTTTAATCTGTCTCATATGTTAACAATATTTGTTACCTTACCTAGGGGCCATCCATAAAGGACGTCACCATTTTTTAGTCAATTTTTGACCCCTGCCCCCTCCTTTGTCACCGGTTGTCCTTTTTCCTTAAACCCCCCTGGAAAAGGACGTCATAAAATCTTGACCCCCTCTCCCTATTTTTAACTTCATAAAAAAATTTATTTCATCTTGCAATGATGTTTGAATCTGCTGCTACATCTTTGAAAAATAAAATTAAAAATATTCTCATACATTATCTTCTCAAAAACACATGTTTACGTAGTTTTCCATGTTAATTAAATTAAAATAAAAAATCTATAAAGTGACGTCCTTTTCTGACAACCTCCCCCCTCCCCTTGTCCTTTTTTCGACCCCCTCCCCCCATATTTGGACGACGTCTTTTATGGATGGCCCCCTAGCAAATATTTGTTAATAATTAAATTTCAGGTTTTGTTCGCAAATATTCCTTTTTAATTGTTATTTTTCAATTACTATTATTTTTTTCTATTTTTCGTTAAAAAATTTTTTTTTATTCAAATATTAAATGTTTTTTAATATTTTTTTTTTTTTTTTTTTTTTTTTAATTCGATTTAGTTTTACAATACAATTTTTTTATATAACAGTGTTTTAAAAAATGTAAAAAAAATTTTGATTATAAAATGATAAATGTATGAAACTTAAATTATTGTTTTTATGTTTCATCACTATGAGATTTTTAGAGGTTTCTTGAGGGTTAATGGAAATCATTGAATCAGCAGAATTAGCGCATATGACGTCACTTTATATCAAAAACGCAAACGTGGCATGAGACTTAAATAAAGCGTTTAGAAACTGATGTAATATCATATAAAATATATGTATTTTTTACACCTTACATAATAATTGATGTATGGTGTGAAAAATATTTTATGTTTTTTCATAAAGTCTTTTTCGCATCATACATCAATTATTATGTTTATCACGTAATTACTTGATTATTTTTTTAAACACCTAAGGTTTCATTAATTAAAAAACAGCTAAAAATACTGTTGCGTCTTTTGTTTCTTTTTCGAAGTTCAGAAATAAGCATATCTTCAATTTTTAGAATTTTTTAAATTAGATTAATAAAAAATTTTAATTGTAATGTTAATGCAGTAAATTTTATTAAGACAACCTATTCAGTGGCCAACTGGGCCCGCTGAACTCTGCGATGTTTCCTGGTGATGTTTCGTTGAAACAAATCTTCTGGAAATCTGGAAAACAGTGTTTAATTTAAGTCGTTGCTAAAATTTAACCAAAAAAATGCTAGTCATAGGGTTTGAAATGCTAGTTTCCAGGGTTCAAAATGCTACTTCCCAGGATTTGAAATGCTAGTCCCAGGGTTTGAAAATGTTTACTTTTTAAGAAATACTCATCATTCTTAAATTATTAGTGAAAAATCAAATTTCAAACAATTATATTTGTTGTTATTCATTCTCGTAAGGTACTAAAAAAATTTATTAATTCCGTTGTTTTTTAAGTAAAAAAAAAAGTTATTAAAAAAACAAAACAGTGTTTGCTCAAAATATAACCTTTTAAATTACTTTTTTCCCTACTGATTCTAAATCTGCCTCCATAATTGCATCTGTTTTAGGAAATTAGCTAGAATTTTTAAAGTATTGCAAAGATGTTTGATACAATAATTTTTTTAGACGTGTGTGACATTAAAGACCAAGTCATCAATGCGCCCTTAGGTATAGTGACCTCGCCAAATTATCCTAAAGAGTATCCGACAAACGAAAATTGCCGAGTATCTTTTGAATCTCCAGATAATTCAGGTTATTTCTTGAAAATGGAGGTATTTGATATTGGGACTAAGAGAAAAAGGTAATTTGTTATGTTTATTACGCCGTGATTTAAAAAGTCTTCTGTTTTATATTTTGTAAACTTCATTTTGTTTTTTTCCCTCAACTCGTTTTGAATTTTTTGAAAATACCTATTCAAAAGTCGAATGAACTGAGTAGGCTATTTCTTATTTTCCTACATCACTCTTAAACAAAATGAATACAGTACAGTCAGGGTTATGATGGGGTTCGGACCTCTTGCTTTTGAGGATAGAGTTTTATTACTGACCAATACCAGCACATAATACACAGTTTCTTGTTCAAACAACGTAATATTTGATCGTAAATTTTGCTTGGACGTTTCCTTCTAACCCTTTCTAATTACAAGAAACTAAGTTTGTTGTGTCAGAAAACCCAACACCTTTCCGCTTGGTCACATTTATAATTGAGAAATTAAAAATCTGCGTACACAAATATCACTACTTTTTTGCAACCGCCCTCATTTTATCGCGAGCGCAATCATTTTTTATATTAAATATCATATTTTACTAATTTGCAGGATAATTCTTTTAAATTAATTTACAGTAATAATTTTTTTTTGATATTTTTTTAAATCAAGTAGAATATTTTAGAATAACCGCGTTAGCATGGTTTTCTATGTCCACCCCTAGTTTTTATCAGGTAGGGTAGAGCGGGGCTAGTTGAGGAATTTTTACTAAATATAACAGTATCTGTTTCAGTAATCAGTTCCAGTAATCAGTATCAAAATCTCATGAACGATGTGCTGGATTTACGTAACTTTTTCACTATTTCGCTATTAAAAAGATAATTTAACCTGTTAAAATATAGTTAAGAAAAAAAGTTTTTTTTTATTTGTTTGAGAAGGTATTGCCGAAAGTTTAACGAGCAACTGTAGAGCAAGAATAAATGAATATGCATAATATGGAACTTGGGTGAACCATTAATAAAACTATCGCTAACAGTAAGCGCGTTTATAACTTATAAACTTTATCCACTTTAATGACGTTAGTAAAAGAAGAGAAAAGATTAAATGATTAGAAAGTGTCATAAAATATGAAAATATTATTTTATACATATTATATTATTTTGAACTCTAAAGCACAATTATATATTTATAATGTATCGCAAAATTCTTTCTAATCAAATTTGTTTCTTTGTATTTAATAGTTCAGTTTTATTTTTTTCAAAGCTGTTCAACTTACCCCTACTAGATAAGGTAACAGTTTTAAAGAAATCGGTGAAACTTTTCACCGATTTCTTTAAAACTAATGTTACCTTATCTAAAGTCCAATAAGTTAATAAAATATTATCACTTAGGTGATGATAGATTTAAAAAATAGCAATAATTTAATTTTTATGTCTTTAGTCTAAAATAGAAAAAGGGCCCGTGCATCTTACTCGACTACCGTTCAACAACCTTTTGTTGTGCATTGTGTTACCATCTAATTACCTAACTTTCATCTATTAGATGTTTTATCATGCAATGCGTTGATTTTGCAAAGATTTCGAGACAACTTAATTGCCCAACTTGCCCTATTACTAAGCTAGCTCCGCTTTACCCTATTATTATGTAAGATCTGTTTATGTAATAATGTAATTTTTTGTTTCCAGCGACTCTTCATGTAAAAATGATTACGTTGAGCTTTTTTATGACGAAAAATCAGAAAAGCTATGTGGTAAAACATCCCATACAGTTCACATACCTACTGCGAAATTCACGTTAAGTTTTCATTCCTCAGCGCGTAAATATTTTAGCAAGGGATTTGTGTTTGTGTTTATCACTGAAAAATTTCGATCAGGATTAGGCGTTAAAGGTAATTTTTTGATTTTTTGAGAGGTGCATTGTTTTTGTTAATATTTATATATAGATTTAACTTCTATACATAACGTATAAAATTCACTATTTGCTGTTGAGTTTACTTTTATATTTATTCAAAAATAAACTCAATACTCCAATTTGAAAAAAAAAATTTATTTAGAAAATCGTTTCAGTAATTTTTACACTGGATTACTAGAAACACAACACAAGTACGCATCAAAGTCTAACGCTAGTTTGTTGAAAGTCTCTTCACATCCAATGCTTTTTCCAAGTGAGTAAATATGATTGTTCTGCTAATTTTATTAAAATTGTTCATTCAATTTTTAAATTGTAAAATTGAATTAATTAATATAAAAATCACATTATTATAAAATTTTCAAAAACATCAAGGTATGAAAAATGTCAATCCTTCTCACACAGAAGATACTCGAGCGATTAGCGATCCGATGGAACTTACTAAAATCTTACACAAACTAGTGACTGGTAAATTTAAGAAATACGGTTATAATTTCAATGATTTTTTTCAGTTAGGTCATATAATGTTTTGGATGACGAACCTTTAACAAAAATATCCAACTTTCTAACTGTTACTTTTGTTGTTGTTGTTGCCGTTTTTAGTTTTATTTTTTTTTATTTTTTTTATTTGACAATGAATTTATTATTTAGATGATACATCTAAGTTCTCACGTCCTCCTGATGCATCAAAACTAAAAGATTGGTCTCTCGTGGTCAAAAAATCTTTAATACCGCGACCTTCCTTAAGTGGTAACGCAAAAATAATAAATAGCGAGGCATTTTTTAAATCTCCGCACTTAGACTCTTCCCAAAAATATGGATTAGGCTATTTATCTCCAGCGACACACGAAGACGACGTTGCTAACATCTATAAACTGAATCATAAGCTTCCTGGACCAATTAATCCTTCTAGTTATTACTTCAAACCTTACTTTCCTAACCAAGACAGTTTGAGGAAAAGTATATTACCCGCATCTAATAAATTTCTTTCTCAACCAAATTTTCTTCAGAAGACAACGTTTTCAGATGTTTTACCTTACTTGAATCAAGTAAATTTTAATACAAACCAGCCTTACGTTTACGAACAATTTTATCCGAAACCATTATTTTTGCAAAATAATTTGGAAAATTTTGCTACTTCTGTTCCTTACAGCTACGCATACTCTTACCCCATTTATCATTCAGTCATTACTCCACAAATTAACAAAGGAATTTCACAGCACATTGATAGCAGCAGTGGACCTAACGTAGTATCCAATTTACAACATGTTAATAGCCGCAGTGCGCCTAACTTATTACCCAATTTTCATTCAGTTTTAGTTCAAAACAACGAATATAACGGGTACACAACTCCATTAAATTTAGACAAATTAAAAAAAACAACTTTCAGCTACTTGCCCAATCTTGAAAGAAGTACAATAATAAAACCGGACAATTTGAGACGACCTAAATTTAGTTACACTATTGACTCGCATATGTATAGTGACGATTTGTCAATGTTTGGAGATAGAGGTATACGATTTCATAAAAAAAACTTTTTGATGTTTATTACATTTTTTTTTTTAATCTTATAGTGAACTCTTATTTCTAATTTTAATCTATTATGTTTTTCCTTTAATAGATTCAGCAAGTGTCGAAACTCTTAACTTCCCCTCGTATAATGATGAGTTAGTAAAACGTACATTACATTCTTCAACTGACACAGTTAAGAGAATCATCAGTAAACCTTTGGCATCAGAACATTTTACACATAACAAATTAGTTTCAGGTGGTAATACTCCATTGTTGAAGTTTACACTAGATGTATCAAATAACTATAACAAAGTATCTTCGAATAGTGATATTCCGTTGTCAACATTTGCGCTAAGCGATGCGTCGAATAACTATAATAAATTACTTCCAAATAATGACGCTCCTTTGTTGAAATTTACACCAAGCAATGGATTAAGTAACTTTAATAAAGTTTTTTCAGGTGGAGAAGTTCTGCTATCGAAGCTTGCATTGAAAAGCGATGCATTTAGTAATGATAACGAAATACCTCAAAGTGGGTATGTTCCGTTATCAAAATTTGCATTAAGCAACGGATTGAGTAATTCTAATAGGATACTTCCAGGTGGTGAAATCCCGTTGTCGAAACTTACGCTTAGCGATGCATTAAACGTTGAAGCGAAAACTAAAAATCTCATAAGTAAATTAGCATTAAAAAAATCAATGACTCCCAACGACTTAAATCTTTACAAAATTGTAAACAATGATAATATAATAGTGCGATATCCTTTTAAAAGTGATGTTCCAGTAAAAAAAACTAACGGTTTTAGTGTAATCAAAGAAACTTCAAGAGTTATGTATCCTAGAAGTCTAGATAAGGATGGGAAAAATTCACAAAAAAATTTACACCAAATAATGCAAAATCAAACAAAGGCATCTTACAAAAGTAATTTTAGAATATTATTTTCATTAATTCCCTATCATTCATTTGATAAAGTCATATATTTTCGACGGTGGTTCTATTTCAAATTTATTCTTTAAAAAAAGGAGTTGCTACTAACAAATTACCCTTCTTGAAACCTAATTTGGCCAGTTTTTTATTCACCGCCATTATGGATAATACAAAATGTTTTATATCTATAATCGTAAATTTTTTTTTTTGACACCTGATACCCAACCTCTAGTTACTTTTTGTGTGTGTTAATCTATGTTAATTTGTATTTTGTTTAAAAACTACTGCCATAATTTTAATTCCATTTTAGCGGCTAAAATGAAAAAGTTTGTTTCATATATCCATGACTGGGAGAATAGAAATTCAGACGGTAAAGTTTGGAATTCTCCATCTCGTCACAAAAGGCAGTATCCTCTTTCTTTTCAATTTGAGCCATCAGTAAAATTAAACAGTAAGTAAAATTATTTTATGCCTTCATAGTCGTGCTGTTACGGGTGCTAATCAAGTTTAAATTTTTGCAATAGTGCATTTACGGGAACCATTTAAAGTTAGGGCTTTTTTTTTTTTGATTAACGCTCTTATGACCGCTGCTTGAAAATGCTATCATCTCTTCATCTTCCTAAAAAAAATATTGTTGCACAACTCGTCGTTCTATTGAGAAAACTGATTGTTCCTACATGTCCAAAAAATTTTGTTGAATAAATATTTTTCAGTTTTAACTCGACTTTTTTCAGTTTTAACTTAAGTAGTGGACGCCTCTTGTTGTGAGTGAATTTGAGATTTAAAAAAAGTCCAAATCTAATCTACGGTTTTTTAAGTCATTAAATCATATCTGGTATTCGTGTTGCTCAATATCTGCATTTAAGCAAATAAATAAACTTTTAAATTTAAACTCTTAAAGTTACATATATAATGTCACACGCATATAAAGTCACTCACAAAAATAAATTGCATTAGGCTGTTAACTTATTTCATGTAGAAGTTGTATATACACGTGATACAAAAAAGTGTCTCAAATTTCAGATAAAATTGATTATCGATTTAAAAAAAATATCCCTGTTCGGATAAAAAACTTGATTTTGAAAAACACTGTTTTTTTATTATTTTTTTTTAAAATAAAAACAAAAATTTATTAAAAACTACCCGCTTCCCTAAATTTCACCTGGCAATATTTTTGTTTATTTTCAAAAACATTTTCGAAAGGTTTTAATTTCTCGGCTCTTATTTTCACTTTTAAATTGTTAATTTGCTTCAGAGGTACAGTTAAAATCATTTCTAATACGTTAATCATGCAATAATTATGTAGATTATGTAGATTATTGTAATCTACATAATTATGCAACAATTATGTAGATTGCAACCTATTTTTGTTTGAAACATTAAATAACAACGTCAAAATTTGTTTCCCGTTATTGAAGATGTTATTCCAATACATAGGACAGACTTTTCAAAAAACATATCTTTGGGATACCGCAAAATCTCGCTCAGCAGCAGGAACATAAGTATTTTATTTGTTGATGAGAACATTTTTTTTTTTTTTTTTTTGATAAGAACTCTTTAAATACTTAACCAACTCAATTTTTTTTACAAAATAATTTCCTAAAAACTTTCCAATTGCGTACCGTTTGCGTGATGTCAAATTGTTTGCCCGAATATCTCATAACCACTAGCGTTTTTAAGAAATTCTTATGTTTCTGTGCGCATATCAATCCCAAAATACCTTACGTTTCTAAAAAAAGTCTATTTTTACAACACAAACGTACGCCATTGCAACTTACGGCTTATTTTCAATCCAATGTTTAAACCATACTTTTTTTGAGCTATTGAACATTAAATATTATTCTAGCAAAAAATTGTTCATCTCATTCGCATTATTACATTTTCCATCAGATTTAAGTTAATAACAAAGCTAAAAAAAGTATTTCAAAATTCTTTTATTTCTCTATCAACTTTTGATGAAGCAAATGTGTAACAGTTTCAACAAAAAACATTTCTGAAGTTTTGGCGTTTGAATAAGGAATCATTTTATATATTTTTATCCAAGGACGTTTATTATTATTAATATTATTGTTATAATCATTATTATTATTATTATCATTATTATTATATTTATATTATATATTATTATATTATATTTTATAAGACAATTGTCATCGTTTTGATTCACCTATAATTTGAAACATTAAAGTGAAACAAAATTAGAAGCGAGTTACATTATTAAACGCACTAATAAACAAGAAGTAGAGATTAAATTGGACAAGTAAAGAATTTTTAAATGGTATTTTTTACTTTTAATGGGGTGCTTTTAATTCTTGCATCAAAACTAGGGCTTGTGTAACTTAATCTTGCATCAAAACACTCCAAAACTAACGCATCTTAATTTCTAGTACTGTTCGTGTGCACACGAGCTTGTTACAAATATATATCTTTTTTATTCAGTCACAAGTGTGGCTGACACGTGTGAATTTATTAATGTAACAGAGTATATTTTTTAAAAAAGAAATTAATTTAAATAGGATGTTAGAAAATGATCTAAAATTTTTCTGCCTTCATCAGAATATAAAAATAAATATTTTTTTCAAATTATAAAAAGATGAGTATGTTTTCTTTTAACAAGGTTTGTAACATCAGGGGCGGATACAGGATTTTTTGAAGTTTGAAATAACTAACTTCCAGACATGGAGCGAACTCGAAACTTTTATATGTTTATATTTATATCAAATATGGATACTTTGCAAAAAATTGAGATGATAGGAGCCTGGGAACAAAAAAGCCCAAAAATTTTTGCTACACCTGCCCCAAACGTGAGAGCAACAAGTTGATAAAATAAGTTTTTTACTTTTCTCAACTAAATCTATATTCATCGAGAAATTTTTAATTTTGTAAAACAATCTTTTAGCGTTCAATAATAATGGTCTTATAAAATTTGTAACCCCCTCAAATTGAGGGGGATTCAAACTTTATGTGGCTATAACTTTTGAACGTTAAGAGATTATTGTATGAACTTTAAAATTTCTTGATGAATATAGATTTAGTTAAGAATAGTAAATTATTTTATCAACTTGTTGCTCTCACGTTTGGGGCAGGTGTAGCAAAAATTTTGGAGCTTTTTTGTTCCCAGGCTCCTATCATCTCAATTTTATGCAAAGTATCCTTATTTAATATAACTATTAACATAAAAAAGTTTTGAGTTCGCTCCATGTCTGGAAGTTAGTTATCTCAAACTTCAAAAAATTCTGCATCCGCCCCTGAACATATTGTTAATAAATATTTAATTTTATAATCTGATCGACGAGACTATCTAGATAAGATAATCTCAAAATATTATTAATAAATGCCATATTTGTTTCCGATGACTTTATATAAAAAAAAAGATATATGTTTGTATATACATACAGGAGATCGAAGTTATATATACTTATTATCAAGACCATAAAAGATTTTTTTTTTACCAGATCGCGGCATCAGGATCCAGGGGGTAATGAAGGTAATTTTCCGGCTAACTTACTAAATCTTTCTTGGTTGAAATTTATCTTTTCTTTTTTTTTTTTTTTTTTTTTTGGAATTCGTTTTTCTTTTAAAATGATTATATAAAAGTGATACAACATACCATTCCCCAATACCTAATTGAAATAATTAGTAGGTGAACCTATTTTCTAGTTAACTCAATATAGCTATATATTTGGTAGATTTTAGACTTCTTGAAGAAGTCTAAAATCTACCAAAGTCTTAGAAGTCTTGAAACTTTTTGATTTATGCCTGGGTATAGAGGCTGTAGACGTATCCCCTAGTCTTTAACAAAATGTTTGAATTTGCTTCGGGTTTTTTTTTTAAAAAAAGAAATTTTGTTATAACTAATTAACTATAATTTCAGGCAAATGTCCACCAAAAGAAACAATATCATGTCTTGAAGTTGTTTCTCAAGTTTCGTGTAATCATGACAGTGAGTGTCTGGATTTAAGGTTAGGCTGTTGTCAAACCAGTTGTGCACAGCAAGAGTTTATATGCCTTACTAAAGGTATTTAAAGTAATTTAATTGTATTTTATTGTAAATTTCGTTTATATATGTATATGTATTTATATATAGTTTTTTTTTTGGTTTTTATTTTTATATACATTTTTTTTTTTTTTTTTTTTTTTTTTTTGTAGAAAACTAGCTCGTTTTTATTATTTTTCACATTATGAAAATTCCATGGGAATGTCACATGAAAATTCAATGTTTTTAACTGGTACAACTAACCAATTCGAAGTTTATAAACTGCCTGTAAATATGTATTGAATTAATTTGTAAATTATTGTGTCTGTCTACAGGTTAGACATGTTTTAAACATTATATATATACATAAGTAAAAAAAAAACGACTATATTTTTTAAAATAGTTTTAACGTTTATCGGGTTATTTAAACGTAGTTAAGACGTGAACGTAATTTGAACGTAATTATGACATAATTATAACGTAATTTGATCGTAACTATGATGGTTATAACGTATTTTTAGTAGCTTAAAATTTTTCATTTTACTTTAACTTTTTTTAAATAATTGTAATTTTTTAAATATAATTGTAGGTTATTTTTTTTTTTTTTACAATGATTAATTACTGATAATTTTAACGCTTTTATTATAATTTGTTGACTTTTTTTAAAGACAATTTTCACGTTTTTTTGACCGTTTTTGAAATTAAAAGATGAGCTTTTATGTTTTTGATTATAAGAAATGTATTATAGTCTTTTATATTATGACGTGAATTTTTTATTACTCTGTACTTTGTGTAAATAAACAATTGAGTGAAAAAATAAATTTTATTTTTACTATTATTTTAGTAATTTATTAGTGTGAAATTAATGATTTTTTAAAATGCATTTAAATCATGATATTTTGGAAGACCTGCACCTTCAAGTTGCGTTGAACTAGTGCGTTTATGAACTAGTGCGTCTAGGAGTTACTAAAAAAAAATAATAGAGTTATAGAGCAAGAAAACGGTTGACAGAAAACTAAAAAAAGTTGAAGGTTGTGTGAGTCAGAAAAACGTGAATATGGGAGAGAGTTCCAAATGGTTGAAGTGCGAGGAAAAAAGCTAGTCGAATAAAAGTTTTTGAAGCATGCAGGGACAGATACAGTAAAAGAATGAGACTTTGATAAATGACAAGTCAAACGAGAATGAGTTTTAGTTGATAGAACTAGAGATAAAAGCTCCTTTGAGCAACGACCAAGATGTATTTGTAGAAAAGGGAAAGAGATGACGATGGGAAAGAGGCTCAAGCTTAGCTGATCGACCGGTTCTGGACCTTGTCTAGAAGAGAAAAAGCATCATTAGAAGAACCAGCCCAAATATGACAACAGTATTCCATGCAATGACGAGTAAGAGATTTGTAAAAGGTAGAGAATGGAATCAGGAGAGAGAAAATTGCGAGCAAGTTAAAGAGAAGCAAACTTAGCAGATGCTAATTTATCGATTGTATATATGGTTTCTATGAAAGGTCAGTAGTAAATGATAATCCAAGAAGATGTAAAGAAGACGATTCAGTGAGAAGGTTGCCATTCATCAATATAGAAATGTCAACAGAATTGCGATAGTTGTTTGCAGTAAATAACTGAGTTTTGTTGGAGTTAAAATTTACAAGCCACTGTGAGCCCCAATCATTTACAGAAGTAAGATTAGATTCAAGATCGGCTGCCTGTTCAAAGTGATCGAAAAGAGAAGACTTTTTGCCAAGACAATAGTATAAAGTTGAGTCATCAGCAAAAAGAGCTACTTTAGATGTAAGGTTGTCAGAAAGATCATTAATGAGATAAAAAAAAAAACAGGACCAAGGATAGACCCTTAAGGTAGCCCAGAAGTTACTGGAAATAAAGAAGAGAAAGGCATTCGAGAATGACTTTAACAAAACAGTTAGAAAGATAAGATTTGATAATCTCAAAAACTTTCCCAGATACACTATATGAAACAAGCTTATGGAGAAGACCAACATGTCAAACTTAGTCAAAAGTCTTAGATATGTCAAGAGCAATAGCCCTGGCCTCTCCGCCTCTACCTAATGCACGATAAAATCTTTTAGTCATAGCAGTTAGCAAGTCAGCCGTAGAGCGAGAGGATCAAAAACCGTATTTTGTGTGTTTCTTCCAAAAATGTTGAAGGTTTTCTAGATTTTATTTTGAGGTATGAAAACTTTGTTTAAATCTGTCTCGTTTTTCTCCACTATGTGGACAAAATGAGACAGATTGTTTAAAATTAATCTAAGGTAATCAAACCAGATTTTAAAAAGAATTAGAAAAATAAATCGTTATTATAATAAAATATATTCTACAACTCTATTATAGAAATCAAACACACTACCACCAGTCATATAAATTACATATGGCTATATTTTATGTGAGATATGAGGTGGCAACGTTAAATTACTATTCCTATTTTTTTTTTCAGCAAAATCCAATAAAATAATGTTCTTTGTATGAGTTTTGTGCCCAAAGAATCTTATTTTCACAAGCTATTGAGAGCTTTGCAAAATGTTTTTATAAACTCTATGAAAAAATTAGTATATTATTGTGTATCTTATGAACATATATTATATTTTGTTTATATTCTACAACAATAATCTGATATTAATTTTTAATCTAATTTTAATAATTTGAAATTAAAACTTAAAATGAACAATCATTTTACAACAATAAACACAACAAATTACTTTTTTTAATGCCTTTAGATTTGCAAATCTACTCGTGATAAATAACATTTACATTACTCGTCTGTTTAAAACAAAAAATAAATGCAACATTTAAACCTGTAGATAAAATTTAAACATATTAGGTAAATATAATAAATATAAGTAAACAGAATAAAAACATTTTAGCATGTTGGATGAACTGAACATAGTAAATTCTACTTATTCACATTAAATAATCATATTAAATACCTCCAAAACAAAACAAAATGTCTAATTTTGCTTTGCAACATGTCGGTACGTTAGACACTAGATACTCGGTCTCGATTCTCAATTTATCGTCTGATTTCGGTGCGATACCGTACAGTATCAGTATCGAAATCACCCAATACGGTTATCGAAATTATCGTTAATGTTTGTATCGTTTGGTCTCGATGCGATACTTTACGGTATCGCCATCTAGATCACGCGATACTGGTATCGAAAGTATCGGTTATGTTGGTATTGCTTTGTACAGTATAAAGGAGGAGGAAATTTTTTAATTTTTTCTATTGTGATTAAAAGGAAAGAAAAGATTTTGTTAAACATTTATTTCTATATTAAATTATTACAAATAATTAAATTACGTTAAACAGTGTGTAAGGGGCGGACAAAAAGGAAAGAGGGGTGGTATTCGGAGTACTATCCTCCCCCTACCTAGGAAATGTCAAACTTTAAATATTATTGATAAAATTAAAAAAATAAGAAAAAATACAAAAAATTGTAATTCAACATTTTATTATTTTTCTCAAAAAAAAAAAAGTATTTACATAACTATTCAATATATTAATTAGCAAACTATCTTATAACCTTTTAAAACCATTATAAATGATCAAATAAAACAGTTGTTTTATTTAAAAGAAAATCTTATTTTTATGTTGTTTTTTTTTTGGTCGGACTACCCTCCTAAAACAGTGACCTGGATCCGCCCCTGCTGTGTGCAATTTCTCATACCGTTATTCCAACTCCATTAAATTTTTATTCCATTCAGGAAAAAATTTTCTGTGCGAAGTTAATCGGAATTAAAGTTAATTAACGCGAATAGTTTTGCAATCATTAAAGAGAGTTTTTCATATAATTCTCCAAAACGAATTGCTTGTGATGCAATCTTAAGCGATTATTCTAAACGAGTATTAGAAATAATTATTCAAAAGGAATTAGATTTGTAACTATCATTAAAGAAAGTTTTTTATATAATTCTCCAAAGGAAATTGCATGTGATACAATCGTTAATAATTATTCTAAAAGTGTATGAGAAGTAATTGTTCAAAGGGAATTGATTTCGCAACAGTTATTACAGTTATTTAAATTTAATTAATAGTGTGATATCGCATCCATATTTTAATTTCTTATCTGGTACCGTTACTTTATATAAATCTCTCGTGGTATTGTAATTCTCGCCTGGTCTTTCGTTCTGTGTTCAACATTCAACAACTAAACTTTAGTTTTAAACAATTAAATATAAGTATACTTTAGTTAAAGAAACTAATCTTCGGGAAATAATCCTGAGATTCATTACCGGCAGAATTAATTTTATATATAACAACTTATCTCTATATCTTAATTGTTTGCGTGGTCAAGCGGATAAAGTTATGGGCAGTGAGTCTGGAAATCTGGGATCAAATCTTTCCGAAGTGCTTAATTTTTTTAGTTTTTTTTTTATTAAAAATGCAGTTTATTTTTTACGTTTTTACGCTATAACTATTATTGTTTATTAATTATTAGGACTTAAAAAAATTTAATTAAATTGTTGGAGCAATAATTCATAAATCGGCTAATTTTTAGGTAGAACGCTCAAAGCACAATGTGCTAAATTGACCGCTAGGTTGTATGTCTGCTCCCTCTGAACTTTTTTTGTTTCATATATAGATACCTACTAACTAATTGTAAAAAACAAAAAAATTAAATTCATGCCAATCAAAGGGTCTTTTTTTGGTAATAATATTTTGAAATTATTTAACTCATTTGACATTGTTTAGTAGCAAAATTTACAGTAAATGCCCCCAAAATTATTGAAATATTAATAGAATAAAATCCTAAAATACCAGCGAAAGTACAACAAAGGAAAAAATAACGAATGGACGATAGCCAAAGTATTGTAGATTGTTAAAAAAGCAATAACTAAATCTTTAAAAACCAATTGTACTTTTATTTTGTTAATAAAAAATTCGATGTCAAATTTTAATTTTCTCTTTTGTTTTATTGAGAGTCTCGATTCGAGACCATGCGATACTATACGATTCTTTTTATAATCGGTATCGTTTGGTATCAAAACGATACTGATAGTATCAACATTGGTACATAAGCGATATCATATGATACGAGACCATCCTTCTCGGTATCGAGTGGTATCGAACCGATACTGATAGTATCGACATTGATACATAAGCAATACCACGCGATACGAGACCATTATTTTCGGTATCGACTTATACCATACCGATTATCTAGTGTCTACGGTGCGGGAGTCGCCTAATTTCCAGACAAATTTATGAAAGAATTTAATTATGAGTGTATGGAAATGATAGAATAATGCCTAATGATGATAATAACACACAAACCTTAAATATAAATTGTTTTGCACTTAGTGAGATCAAGAAAGGTTAAGAAAAATTATAATAACAAAGCTTTAAAACTCATAATTGTCACCCGAGGTATGTAATGATTGTCACCTTCATATTTTTTTTTATTTCAAATTTTATTACATTTTTTTCTGACACAAAATGGTTTTAGAACATAGCTTTTAGAAAAATCTTGAAAACAATAAATTGTGGGACTAGCATTATGATAAACGATAAACGAGATAATGATAAACAGATAAACGAGATCTGTCTCATGTTCTCCAAGTTTTTGAAAAAAAGTCTTAAAGAAGGGTGGAAGAGAAAGAAAAGAAGTTTTGAAAAAAGTAAAGGTAATAAAAATGAAGTTAGTATCTAAAATATAAACAACACCAGAATAAAAAAAATTGAAAATCAACAGTAAACGACAAAAGTATTTAACAATCAAAAATTAAAAATTTCAAAATCTTAAAATGAAATAAAATTCTTAATTTACTTGTCTTGTTACGAAGAAATTTTTTTTTAATGCAATACTATTTTATTAATAACTAGTATTATTTTTAAAATTTTATTTAGATTTTGGTTCACACACTTTAATTACTTAGTTTTCTTTATTTAATTGTAATTATGAGCCGTTTATTTAGTTGTAATAAAAAAAAATTAAATACATAGTAAAATTAGTCGGACCTGCTTTATATGGCGAGCTTTAACCACTGTACCATAGTTGTAAAGTTGCGTCTCTTTCTCTTTTCTACAAAATATTTGTAGAAAAGAGAAAGAGGTGCAACTTTACAACTATGGTACAGTGTTTCAAGCTTGCCATATAAACAAAATAAAAATTAAAAAACAAACAAATATTTTGTAGAAAAGAGAACTTTTCTACAAAATATTTGTAGAAAAGAGAAAGAGATTTTAAACTTTACAACGTTTTCAACTTTACAACTATGGTACATTGTTTCAAGCTTGCCATATAAAGCAGATCCAACTAATTTTACGCCCAACTAATTTTACGTCCTTGTTTAAAAGAGAAAGAGCATCATTAGAAAAACTAACCAACAGAATTTCATGCAGGGATTTATTATTTCATATTTTTGGTTGAAATATTTCAGAAATACCCAAATACTACAATATTTTTGAAACAAAAAAGAATGAATTTTATAAAAGTATGTAAGCTTATTTAAATAAATTTTTTTTGAAAACTTAAGGAAATTTTGCGCAAAATTTCCCGGAAAATTTTCGATAGTTTTCAACCCTATATGCGGGAATCACTCTTTTAAATCTATCCTAAAAGAACCATATTGGTTAACCTAGCCTTGGCTGATTATTGTGGTAAATCTAGCCTGAAAAATTTTAAAAACATCTTATTCAATATTTTTTTGTTAACTTAAATGTATCTTTTTTTTTATAAGAAAACGATCTATTCTAATTAAGGAAATAAACTGTCTTAGATGGAAAAAAATTGGTGCATTAAGAAATTCAAGTCGTATAATAATTAATTAGTTTTTAATGAAGTTAAAAGCATAACAAAGTTCTCCTTCTATATTCAGTAGTTATCAGGATCGTCCCAAAAAGATTTTACAAAGAAAGGTGTGTGTCTGTGATGTATCTGTTTTTTCCCGACTGATAACTTAAAAAAAAGGATTCTTTGTTTACTGACATTTACCGACTGCCCAGTTGGCATTGTCCTAGGGACGTCCGTAAGATGTCTAAAAGACGTCCCCCGGACGACACATGCCCACTGAAGGCAGGTCTAAATTTGCCGAATAACCCCTACACCCTCCACCGCCCTAATGATGGTCTTCGCAGTTACCTACATGAACATTTACCAATTTGTTTCTTCGCGCAGCGTCCTGGTTTGTCAAGGCTTTTATTTGGAGTTAAATGGTCATGAATTGTAACAACAGTTTTTTGTTGTTACAATTCTCTTACGATGGTTTACAATGACCTTTGCGTAAAATGACAAAAATAAAAATTTTGTTTTTCTGACTGAAATAAGATTTATTCTTTAGGTGATGCAAGTCTCCTATTAGGTGATGCAACTCTCCTCTATTATAAGTTCATTTTAATTACAAGTCGCAAGTATAACATGTCTCAAAAAAGAACATAGAGTCTAGCAAATAATATTACTGTATAAAGTTTATTATTTTAAATGTTAAATAAATATTTTTAAAACTATATTTAGTTTTAATAGTTTGTACACATATTCCACTTACTTAAAAAGTCGACACGGATTTAGAAGTTCTATAAACTAAACGGCACTTTTATAAAAAATAAAAGTATTATCTACTTTTTCATATATATACCTTGTTATTTTAAAAACTTATTGCAAATCATCTACAATTTGTCTCTAATTATAATTTTATAAATTTTATAACATTGGCAATTTAGAAAATAGTATATTAGATTATATAATGCGGAGCTCTGTGATGTGATCGTTAAGACTTCTTAAAGCACCTAAATAATTAATAGTAAAGTATATATATATATAAAATTTATCTAGCTGTATTACATATGTCTTAAACTAAAATTATTATTTTAGAATTACAAAATCTTATCTATAGACTTAATTATTATGTCCTTAAAAGATACTATTATAAATACAATCCTAAAATTGACAGTATAAGATAGATACAATAGGTTTATAGGAATATATTTTACTATGTGGTTCAGAATATCAACTTTTTTTTGTGGTTTCGTTTAAACCTAGCATACTGTGCACAAGTTTTAAGCCATATCATCTTTGCTATAAAGAATACATATATATTTAATGTTGCATTCAACGTTGATATTGAAACGTATTACTCAAGTGTTTTTTATAAATAATTTACATTTTATAAAAGTGGTAGCCCTTTTGATTTACTTACATTTTTACGGTCTCCGAAACAAGTGACTTTGTTTTGCTTGATAAAAACTCTTGAGCATCTAAATGTAAAAAGGTATGAAAACTATTTCCTTAATAAAATATTCATACATTCACAACACATACTTATAGTTTATAAACGTAAATGCTGAAAAAATTATTTGTATATATCAATTAAAAAAACGTATTATTTCTATTTCTATATTGTTATAACTAATTATTATTTTTAAATTAAAACTTTTCGAGACAAAACATTAAACTAGACATTAAACTTGTTTGTTTATAATTTTTTTTTCAAAAATGTAAAAAGAATTAAAAACCACCCTGAAATAGTTGTTTTAAGAATTTAAAAAATGTTTTAGCTAGGTGTCGAGTCAGGTGTCTAGTAAAATAAAGAATATTAATCAATTTATATTACTGCAGTCTTTCATATTTTATTCTTACTTTTTTTAACATACGGTTGGCTAATATAAAAAGGTAACAATAATAAATTAATCGTATTTGCTTAAGACATTTTTTACTTTTTCACATGCTTCCCATTTGATAAGACCGTTAGTCTTTTGTAGAGCACCTTAATAACTACAAAGGAAAAAAAATTCGTTTTGTCTCCATGCGAGTTTAATCACCAGATTTGAATTAAATTATCCTGCAAACGTGACGCAGTAATTGAACGGCATACTTCAAATGAAAATGCCCGAGGTTTGATGTCAACTATTAGGTTATGCTATTACTTTTCATGTACTATTTAGTAGTGCTCTTCTATAAAACTTCCTAAAAATTAGCTCTTTCTTACGTCTGGCGAATATTTTAAACAGATATTTTAATTCAAATAGTTGTAGGACTAATTTTGCAGTTTTTTTCATCATATTTTGCATAACCACGTTCGATAACACCTTAAAATATAATTTTATATTTTAACGTAAAAGATATGACTGGAGCAAGCAGAAGAAAATGGTCCTATTAACTTGCCCCGTTAATTTCAGTTATATGTTACAATTAATATCAATAAAATGTAAAATAACTCTAAATAAGATTGTTGGCGTTCCCCGATTCCGACCGGAATTCAACACTTCCCCGGTTCCGACCGGAATTCAAAATTTTTTATCCGGTACATCCCTAATTTATTTGTATTCATATTTATGTAGATACATTTACTTGCTAATTTTTTATAACAGGTTTATATATATATATATATATATATATATATATATATATATATATATATATATATATATATATATATATATATATATATATATATATATATATATATAAACCTGTAATAAAATTAGCAAGTAAATGTATCTACATAAATATGAATACAAATAAATTAGGGATGCACCGGATAAAAAATTTTGAATTCCGGTCGGAACCGGGGAACGCCAACATCGCGGCTACATATATATTTATAACCTATAATATAATAACCTATAATACATTTTTGATGAAAAAGGAGCTTGTTTGTTGCCCAAAACTGGATAGCAACTCTTTTTGCACCACAATATTCCTAAACTTTTAGAAATCTTTACAAAAGTGATTACTCCAAATAAAAAAAGCCTCAGATATGCGGTCTAAAATAGTTTTGATTTATCACTTGTTACGGCTTTTGTGTGGAAACTTGCTCTAGGGGCAGCTAGACTTTTTAGAATAAGTGTAAAAAGATGTTAAAAATAAATTTGCGGGCAAAAAATATTTACTTCTACAAAAATATAGGTGACTACTAACTATTATAATCATTTGTATCAAAACAATATAATTTTTAAGAGTGGTGAACTTAACCGTTTAAAACTAGTTTTTTGATGTCTGGATTGATTTTAGAGGTAGATAGAAGTATTACATTACCAAGATGGTTGTCTCCTAAATATCCAAATTATTTAACGGGTTTTTAAAAAAGTCTCCGCGAGCATTTTTTTGCCCACGGGCAGTGGTTTGGTTACTAAGTGGTAACTTTTTAATATAAACATAAAGAACATTTATTGGCTTAAGTACATACATCGACTATTTTATAGCTTGCTGCTACAAGAGAGTGCTACTACATCCATTATCTTATAGCCTGCTGCTTCAAGGGAGTGTTACCTAATCGACTATCTTATAGCCTGCTTCTACAAGGAATTGCTGCTACATTGACTGAGAATTCGGTCTAGGGCAGCAATCTTTTTTCTTTTATAATTTCAATTGAAATTTCTAATGTTTAAAAACTCTCCACTAATTTCGGCATTTCGCCCGGAAATATTTTAATTTCGGCCGGAACTGGAATACGCGAAATCCGGCCGGAATTCTGTCCGGAACGGAATTCTGGTACATCCCTAAAATAAATGTATTTTTATAAATATAAGCATAAACTTGTCCAGTGTACATGAAAAAATTTTGAGACGTGTAAAAGTTCTAAAGATAAGAGATTGTTTAAGTGATGCTGAAGTAACTGTTGTTTAACAACGCAATTAAAATGTTGAATCGAGTTTATTGTTTTAATACAATTTGTGAGAAATGAATTCCACAATTGTGATCTTTTTCTAGATATTGAGAATTTGGATTGTCATAAAGACATTTTTGAAATATAGTAAACTCTGCATAAAATGTTTTATTTTGAATTTGTGATCAATAAGTTGGAAGTAACTATGGAATATTTTTGGGACCAAATTATTTTTTAGTATAAATGTAAGCTAAAGGATGCTATAGATTTTTTTTTTTTTTTTTTTTTTACATTTATTTTGCTGTTTAACAAATATAATCAACACATATATATACAAGAAAGAAAGAAATATGTCCGTATAACAAAGAAGACAGTAAAATCTTGTCAACAAGCACCGTTTTTGTATATACAGTATATAAAATAAACTATACTTTTTTACAATGATCTTTATAAAATAAAGAGTTAAACAGACAGGGGCTCAAAGAAGATGAAGATGACAAAACATCATCGCAATCTTATCATAGAGCCCCCTATATACATTTTCATTAGGTTATGAATATTAAATTAAATTAAAAACCCTAATGGGCATAAAACTGCTGCGCTGATCAATAAAAACAAATAAATAAGATTATAAAGAAAATTACTTTGTAATCCTTTTAAGCACAAATAATAATCAAATTTTAAAAATTTCTTTTTTTATCAGAAACTTAAATGAACTTAATGACTTTGCCATACATTTGGATCCTTTTTGATATCTATTCCATATATTTGGCCCCCGATATGCAATGCTATATTCAGTATATTTATTAAGGTTTTGAGGCAGTTTATATGTGTTACTTATATTTGCTCTTAGATAGTAGTTTTCATTTATGTTTATTTCAAACTTGTTAGTAAAGTTTGTAGGAGAGAGATTATTATTAAATTGATACATAAAAATTTAATGCTGATAGATATTTATTTCAAAAACATCCATCATTTTCATATCTTTCATTATAGGTTTTGCATGCTCCCGCTTATTTTTAAAGTAAATGATTATGCATGCGTGTTTTTGTAGACTATAGATTTTTTTAAGTTTTGATGGCTGAGTACTTGCCCATGATATGTTTGCATAGCTGATAAAGCAATGACTTTGTTTATTGATATATGAGCGAACTCTATACATCATACCAATTATATTACTGATTTTAGATTGAATATATCTTATTTGAGGAAGCCAGGATAGCTTCTCATCAACAAGAACTCCTAAGAATCTAATGCTAGCTTGTTTTTTAATTAAGTTATCATTTAGGATAAGGTCAGGCAACTTAAGAGAAAGGTTTTCTTCTTGCGCCTTTTTATGGAATAATATATATTTTGTTTTCTCTGAGTTAAGCGAGAGTTTGTTAGCTCTAAACCAATTATTTACTTTAATTAGTTCGATATTCATGTCTGCATATAGATTCTTGATATCACTGTTAGTAAGAAATAGATTTGTATCGTCAGCAAACATGACTGAATTTAGTTTTAAAGATGCATTGCAAAAATCATTTATATAAATTAGAAACAGAAGTGGACCAAGGATAGATCCTTGGGGAACTCCACATAAAACATTTAATACTCCAGATTGTATATTGCACACGTATTGTTTTCTATTGGTAAAATAACTTTTAATCCAATTGTAAGTTTTATTAATTATACCATAGTATTTTAGTTCATCTAATAGGATGCAGTGGTCAACTGTATCAAAAGCTTTTGATAAGTCAATAAAAACTCCTAAAGTAAATTTGTTTTGATTAAAACCATCGGTTATTTGATTAACTAATTCAATAATTGCATGCTCTGTTGAAAGGTTTTTTTGAAATCCAAACTGGTTTGGGTAAAATAATTTGTTTTTGGTAAAGTGATTATAGATTCTATTATAAATTACACGTTCGAAGAGTTTTGAAAAAACAGAAAGTATTGATATAGGTCTAAAGTTGGTTATGTCCGAATGTTCATTACATTTAAATATAGGGATTACTTTTGCTAATTTAAGTACATCAGGGAAAATCCCAGATGTTATTGAGAGCCTTAGTATATGAATCAGAGGTCTACTTAAACTGGTTTTATTAAAGATAACTAAATCACTAGTTATTTCATCAAATCCAGGTGCTTTCTTTTTTTTTAAAGAGGAAAAGGCTTCTTCAAATTCTTTATATACAAATTCTTTATCGTACATGATGGCTTTATTTGTGGGTGTTAGATAATTTTTAAATGAATCAGTTGTTGGATTTATTTTAGTAGCGAGATTTGGACCAATATTTATAAAGTATTTGTTAAATTCTTCGGATATTTGTTTTTCACAGAGTATGTCTGTATTGTTAATATTAATTCTTTTTGGTAAAGAAGTTGTGTTTATTTTTTTCCGTCCCATTATTTTGTTAATGACGGACCACGTTTTCTTACTATCAGATTTGCATTTAATGATTTCATTACTATAGTATTTATTTTTTGCCTTTTTAATCAGATTTTGGTAAAAATATTTATAATTTTTGTAATTTTTCTCGTTATCAGTGTTTTAATTTTAAGATATTTATTATAGAGTTTTTGCTTCTTTTTTGAGCATTTTATCAGTGATTTATCCATCCACGGATTAGAAACTGTTTTTGTCTTAATTATTATGCCCTCTAGAGGACAGGTTTTATTAAAGCAATCTAGGAATATATCTAAAAAATTATTGAAAGCTTCGTTGGTGTCCTGACATCTATACACGTTGGACCACGTTTCTTGTTTTAGTCTGATTGATAATTCATTAGTGTTACTTGTTTTAAGATTGCGTTTTTTCAAATTTATAACTTTTAGTTCATAATCAGACATGGTTTTTAAATTTCTTACTTTTATAAATATCGGAAAGTGATCACAAATATCAGTCATGAATATCCCGGTTTCAAGTTCCATTTCCAGGTAATTATTAATGAAAATATTGTCAATTGCCGTTGCCGAGGTTTTTGTCACTCGTGTTGGCTTATTAATTGCTGACAAGACATTAAATTTAAGTAGCATATCAAAAAAGGATTTTGTTTTTGGAAATTTTGAACAAGTTAGAGCATCAAGGTTTATGTCTCCAATAACGTAAAAAGTTTTATTTTCTTTATTTATTTTTTCAATTGTATTTTTGATAAAAGTTTCAAATGTTTTGACTTTGCCACTTGGTGGACGATAAACGCATCCAATTAAAACATTTCGAATTTTTTTGTTTATGATTTCAACAAATAGACTTTCGTAATTATCATTTGAGAAGCTTAATACATTTTTTATTTTAAAATCGTGCTTTTTTGAGACATAAAGCCCTAACCCTCCACCTTTTTTTCCACTTTTTCTTGGTTGACTTATAAGTTTATAAAATGGCAAATTATAAATAGAATTTAATTCAAGAGAATTTTCAAAATCATGCCAAGTCTCTGAAAGAGCTATGACGTCAAACGTGTAATTTATAATATTTAAAAATTCTTTTAGTTTCTCAAAATTTTGCTGCATGCTTCTAATGTTTATATGTAAAACTGAAAAAGAACAATGATCATTTATTGTTTTAAAATCAAAAGGATCAATATATGGTGTGTCAATTAAGTTAATTTGAGTTTCTTGAAAAATATCTATGTTTTCTTCAAAAGATTTTAAATTTTCAAAATGCGTAGCCATTTTTAACGAATAATTTAAAAAGATTAAAAAAATATAACAATAAATTAAACCAAAAACTCTTAAAAAGCTTACTCGTTTCCGTGCGTCAAACAAACAGCTGCGTTGCGTTCGATTGCTTCATTTCCATGCGTCAAGTTAACTACTTTGTGGATGTTTTCTTTAAATTCATGAACAATAAGTTTATTGTACACGACTTTAGCATAATAACCATTTTGACAATGAAGCTTCGCCTGCTCAAAAAGTTCTTTGCGTATTTTACGAGTTGTAAAACTATAATCTTCATTTATAAAAATATTACTAAAAGTTCGCGACGAATATCTTGAATACTCGATTGGAAAATATCAAACTTTAGGTTTGTGCTTGATATTGATTCCCGAAAAAAAGATATAATTGTTTCTTT